GCTCAGTATTTGTAGTGTTATCATTCATAATAATACCATTACTGTTATTAACAAAGACATGATACTGAGGAGTAGCACTAATCACTGCTGAGGGAGACCAGCCTAGTGTAACTGAGAGAAGACTATTTCTACTGTAGGTTGAGTTTGATGAAAATCCAGTTTCTAAAATATAATGGATAAAACAATTTGATATGTATTACCTACCAGAAATATTTCTCACTGCCATATTAGTAGATACTAAAGGTGTAGTTGTAATTCTGTCAGTAGTAACAGAACAGGCATATAGGCCAGACACTCTCATTCTAAATATTACTGATACTTGTACATCATTATTAACTGGTGTTACAGTACGTATCAGATCACTATCAGATACATTAAACTGGTTTCCATTATCAACAGAGCAAGTGACTATTGTTGGTGATCTATTAGTAACAGTAAATGATAAACTAAACACTGGAGGATCAGCATCAACTGATGAGAGGAGCTGGAAGGAGGGATCACTACCATCAATCATTGGGAGTTCTGTAGATGATGAAAAGGATAAATTATGCAGTATTAAATTGAACTTGCTTACCACCATCCATAAGGAAATCCCCACTACCATAAGCAGCAACATACAATGTCTGATCAATTCCCTCTCCATTTGGTATAACACAACTGTATAGTCCTTGAAGACTTCCTATTCCTCCATTTCTTAACAAACCAATTTGACCAGTAGCAGTGTTGTTAGCAAACAGAGGACTACCAGAACCCAATGGTACAGTTGTTCCATTAGGATAATACCATGTTCCTATCATATTCTGATTAAGAGAACTCTGACACCACAAACCATCATTCTGACCATCAGGACCAAGAAGAAAACCAATAGCATTATCAGCTTGATCTATATCTTTATCATGAAACAGACCAGCAACTATCATTGAGAAATTAGCAATAGTCGCATTCTCCTCACCAAGAAACAATCTAACACCTATTGATACAATAGATAGGTCTATTACAAAAACTATGTACTGACCAGTAGTTGGACGAGGAGGTAGTGAACCAAAAAATGGTTGACATGATACATGAAGTACCAATGATAAGATAAATAACCAGAACATACCTTAGACTATACACTTCAAGCTAAACAAATTTAATCTATTGCTGTCTAGAGCTATATAGCATAAACATTTTCAGTATACTGCTTTGCATGACTTATGTACAACAAAAACATTCATGAAGCCAAAAATAACTGTAGTTTGTCATGCATTGTGTCAACATTCTTGCATTATCAGTTTATCACAGCATAACTGAAATTATGTAAGATACTGTATAAGGGGAAAATGAACATCATTAAATGTTAGAGGCTCTAAAACCAACGTGTCTTGCAGAATTGATAACTGATTTTACATTAGAGCTACACTCAATTTACTATTAAGTATAACATCATGATTACATGTGTAGCTAGAGTATATGGCTGAGTACCTAGTGTTGACATTGTGATCAAACACAACAACACATTAACCATTTTGAAAATCAACACAACTTAAGCTAATAGTAAACATAGCATTCATACTGTGGCACTCTCACTATAGCCAGACCATGCATTTCTATACCTAGCAGTGTGGGGTAATACAGAAATACCAAAACTGAATTTCTTAGGAAACAAAAGAAAATTTTAACAAAGACAAAATTAAAGTGTTACACTGGATGCTATATATGCACTTAATAACATGAAAAATGATCACTGGTTCTTATTATATCCTTCTATGCAGTGGTAGGTCTGTACTAGACCCACCTACTGTATGGACTGTACACATAAGTAAGATCAGGATTAGCTGTACTCTGGACTGCTGTCCTTACCCTTACCTTAAGAATAATTAACAATCACAAGACAATCACATTGTACATGTACATATGAAGGGTTTCTCACAAAGCATGCTAAATGATCTAAACATTCCAACATTCTTTATGAGCTGACAAGCACTATAATAGATCTAGTGCTTTGAAGCAACTTTTAAAAATCATTAAAAATTAATTTACTTCAAAATTAGCTCAAACTTGCTATGCAATTATAAGAACATGTATATGTATTGAAATAAATTGTAAAAACAGAAAATTTTTCATAGTCATTTTTGACAAAATTTGGCCCAAATCCCTGTACTAACTATATATACCAAGGTTGTTGCAATGATAATTATAATGGTAATTAATTAGGTAATATTACTTTTTAGCTGTAATGGTAATGGTAATTGTAATGGCTAATTTTGTTCTATTGGTAATGGCAAATGGTAATTAATAGTAGAGATAAGGTAATGGTAATGGTAATAGGTAATTGCATGGATTAAGTAAGATGGTGTGTGTTATCACTATACTATCAGCAAGAGTATCTTGCTATCAGTCACTGGTTATGTCTTAGTGTTAACTTGCTAACTAGAGTGTGACAGTTAGCATGTGCTCTTTTAATACCAAAAAAATTTGAAAAACTCCTTTTAAAGTTAACTCTACATGTATATTAACATTAAGTTTTTAAAGCTTAAAATAAAATTACTATTATAATCAAAAGCTTTCAGTTTCTTGCAATTTTGTGCTAATTGTAATGCAAATGTAGTACACTTTCTAAAGTAATGGTAATGGTAATTTAGATAGTTTCAATAATAATGATAATAATTATAATTGGTGGTATAACCTATAAATTGTAATGGTAATGGTAATGTAATGAAGATTTTTGTAAAGTAATGGTAATAGTAATGATTAAAAAAACAAACTAATTGACAACAACCCTGATATATACCGTATATCGGGTATATTTCAATGCATGAAAAGTCGTGGAAATATTAAGTTCAATCATAGATACTATATACCCCTGGATATGAAACACGGCCCGACCGGATGTTCTGAGGCTTGTTTCACAGGAAATGCGTCATATTACGTTTTTCATTCAGAATAAAAATAAAACAATGATAAAAAGTATTATTATTGCTAATAAAAGTGTGATTTTATGTACAATAATACAATAAAACTTGACATTTATCATGCATTATAATTGCTGAAACTTTCCTTTTCTTTTAGCATATGCAGTCTACCAATGCATGACTTTCCCATCTCTTGTCACCTAAAAATGATGATTTTGACAACACAATTGCACCAAAACTAAAAATACACTCCTTTTGAGAATAGGCCCACTACAACTACCTATTCTCAAGCTACAAAACCATATAGAAAAAGTTCCAATTAAGTCAAGTATTACAAAGAAAAATTGGCTAGAAAGGTGGGGCTTGAAAAACCAAGATTTAGATAATAACAGCTCTTTTACTTAACACAAACTCTAAATAATAGCCCCACTACAACTAGTAAACAATAACCTATCAGTACAATAAAAAATGTTGGCCTAATTCAATAGAGTTAAGCTAAAAAAGTGGCTTGAGTGAAATGTACACAACAAGTAGGCTATGACATCCATTGTAGAACTAAAATATGCACTCAAACTATCGTTTATGAGCATTATTTCAATATATAAAGGCTTTGCAAAGTCCTCTGAGGGATCATTCAGCTACTTTAACAAACGAATAGGCTACTGTGATTGTTTTACTTACCCTGGCAGCCATGAATGCAGCGAAACACGGGTGAGGACAGCCGGATGTGACGTTTATGACGTTTCCTTATGGGATTTTATATGTGTGCATAGAGGAGTTTCGTATCCAGGGATATATAGTATCTATGGTTCAATGATGGAATAATTCGGAAGCCTTTTATATTCCGAAAATATTTTACTTGCTATTATTTCCATCAACCACCTGGCCTGGTAAGTCAATCGAAGCATTTGCTGACTTCTCCACTTCTGAATCAACATTAGCAACACTTCTAACTGGCAAAGAAGGCTCTTTATGGCCTTCGAGTTAGACTAGAATGCAGCCATGGATAGTTATGAAGCCACGTGTTCATAATAATTGCACAATACCACATATCTTCTATTCCTTTTTATCCGCATATTTTTAAATTTCATAATATTTATTTTCGCAATGGATTGCTTTTTCCGAAATTATTAATGCATTGAAATATACCCGATATACGGTAGTACAGGGACTTTAGCTCAATTTTTGAGTAAATTTTAAAAAAGTTTTAAATTCAATTTTGATTGCTATTAACTCAAAGATGTATTATGTATCAGGAAAAATTTTTTAAATGAATAATTCTCTTCTAGTCATTTTTTATACTACAGTACAGGGATGTTGGCCAGTAACTTTAAAAAAACAAAAAAAAAGAAAAGAAATAACTTTACAGAAATAAACTATTTTGCATTAACCTCTATACCACTAAGGAGTAAGAAAGTAGCTTTTTCTATCATTCATTTAAAATTTGATGTTACTT